TTGTCTCCATATTGTTGCAACATAATTGTTGCGTTTAATGTGCAACAAAAGACTACTCAGGCAAGATGGTAATAAAGAAAGGTTTGATATTTTTCATCACAATTAAAATTCCTCCAGAAAATAAATCTTTCTTCTAGTGTCATCTGCTGACTTAAGTCGCCTTTCGCCGTACATGGTACACACATTTGTTTCTAAACCAGCAATTACGTCACCAGAAACATCATTTGTCTGTCCCAGCTCTTTAAAATTGTTAGAAAGTTGGAAAAAGAAAGACAGATAGTCATTACCACTGAAAGCATGTAGGCCCAGATATTCTTGACAAGTTCAATACTAATCTTGATTGGATAAAACAAATATATCAAGATTAGTATTGAAAGTGTCAAGAATATCCTAGTACTGACAACAAATCACGAGGACACCAAAATAGCTTACCTACTCCTCTTCGCATTGCAAATTAATTGAGGCGCTGAAACAAATTGTATTTTGCGTTCTTGCTTGGGCGTAATAGACATCCCAATCATTCTCCTCGCAAACAATGATCCAAATATACACATTCTGGTCGATAATGAAACGGGCAAAGGTAGAAAATATCGCGGAAGGCGACATACATCAGTAGATGACACTAGAAGAAAGATTTTCTGGGTGAAAAAAAATAACAGACCTTTCTTTATTACCACCTTGCCGTAGTGGTCTTTTACTGCATGGCTGGAATGAAGATTTATAATGTGAATTGGTGTCTGAAGCATATGCAAAGGATATATGCGAGCTGTTTGTCAGCAACCAAGAAGATATTTATCCCGCTCATATTATGACCCCTGATTTTGAATCTTCTGATGAAGACTAAGAATTAACTAATATCTAAACATGTCTCTGATTACTGTGTTTTTTATGTACATTTCCAGATCTCTTGAGAAGTACCTTTATAATTTAATATATTGAATGACGAAATAGGTACTGAACGAAAAGGCTAACGAGAAACCACTTTTAAACTTGTAAGAAAATCATCATTTAAATCGACGTGAGCCTGCTTCGTAACAAATCAAAACGGTTGTCCAGGGGCATCATACACACTTCTTTAGAGATGGACAGTCCTAGAATAATGACATTGCCCCCCAATTGTAGACATTGGACCCCATAAATCTCGAAAACGCCCCCTCAAACGCGTGATCACCACCCAGATTCGGAATCTACGCAAAAAACTGGTCTAGAAAAACTTGGTCTCATAAATTCACAGCTCGGGTGGCGATTCCCCCCCCCCCTTCAGCCACCGGACTAAACAGTATCTATAATGTTTTGAAGAACAGTGTTATAATGGATAGCTTTATCATTAATTTCATTTATTTCACATATAAATAATAATTTCACACGAATAATATACAGAAAGCACATAAAATACAATATATTGTGTAACTTTTGTTTGTACGTACAATTTAGTGATTTATAATTTGCCCCTTTTGGTATTCTTTAAAGTCCAACCCCCAAAAAAGCCGGTCTTATGGTAAAATTAAAATGTAATTATATCATTTCAAGAAAAACATAGAATGTGCAGTCAAGCTTTAAAAAAGTTTAATACGACATGTACCTGATGGGACATAGAATATGCAATTAACGAAGTTAAACTTACTTAGGTCCTACCGATATGCCAATATACATAAAATGCTATAAAATCACAAACGGAACACCAAATTTGTCCTTTATCATATTAAAACGTAAAACGTAGAATAAGTTTATATACAATTTATTTTCAACACATGTGGTCAAACAGAAACAGTGCCTTTTCGTGACTTAGTTCGTAGGTATTGATAAACGTATATGTAGGATAAAGAGCTTTTTATGCTCACGGACAGAGTGCTTTGATAGTTTGGTGCCAGTTATTGGTGCTAATAAAGTAGAGACCCAAATATTTGTATTCTTTTACAATTTGTAGTTCTTTACCTTTGAAGGTCCATTTTTTATTTGCTTTTACCTTACCGTCCCTCATAAAGACTACTATTTTTTGTTTTATTTGTATTGATCATAATTATCGAGCTTATATAATTATTATCAATAACTTTTGACAAATTACATTTATTGTATTTTAATTATTTCAAAAAGTGTTACTTTAATTTAATTTCAATTTATGACTCCTATTTCAGAAATAGTAACATTACATTATTCTATAGCTAATCAAAAGTCTACTTCCAACCAATCAGTTTTTCCCTAATAAAACAGAGAGGAAAATAGAGAGAAAAGAGTTAGGAAGCGTCATTAAAAGTTGGCTGTAACCTCGCAAATCCCTTTAAAATAGGGCGACCAAGTCTTATAAATCAGGATTGTCTGCGATATCACCTCGGTGGAAGCGGACGTTAAATAAAGCTATTTCACAGTCTTATAAATCATCAACCTTATATATTCCCACTGTTATGCCTGGATTTCACGTGGGCTTCGAATGTCACGAATTGTCCCCAATCTAAACCTTTTCCGATTCGTTGAAGCTCGTAAATGATTCTTATTTTGTTCGTTCTTTACACACTCGTATTGTTCGTATTCGACCATGAACGTTTTTGTTTGCCAAAACCTTAATGGTCGGTCTACGAATTTCGGAATGTGTAGATGTATCGTAAACCCGTCGTAACCCTTTCGTATCGTCCGTAACAACTTCCTACTCGATTCTTTGACATTCGTGGCTATTCGTGGCTCCCTAAAAATACGTGAAACCGACTCGAACTATATACGAATCGGCGACGATTTTCGCGTGGGCTACGAAATCGAATAGTGCCGAATCGAAATTAATCGAAATTTGTGGCGATTCGGCAGAAAAAAATTGTGTCCATCGGCAATATAACGAGTGTTTAGGGATCCAAGAATATGCCGAATTGCCAAACTTATCGGCATTATTCGTGGAGATCGTAGTGTATTCGTAATTGAATTCGGTATATTTGTAAATAATTTGGTTTATTCTTACCTTTCATTTCGTACCTTTAACGTAACCCTATTTTGATATTCGGTATATTTTTCACCCGATTACGCACGAACTATCGTAACTTTTTCGTACACTAATCGTAGCTACTCCCGATTCTCCAGGAATTTTTAAATTTTTTTGCCGAACCGCCACTTATTTTGGTTAATTTCGATTCAACAACATTCAGGGCGATTAGTAGTATTCGTAGCCCACGTAAAATGTCTAAATGTGTCATAGTAGAAATAACGCCGGTAAGAACATCAGTAGATAGCGTTGTTTAAAGATTTGTTTACTTTTGTATCTTTTCAAGCACGCCCTCCCACACCTACACTCAGTACCCCCACGTCCATAGAAAAGCAAATCAGTTGACCCATCTGTACCCTATACACCATTTAGAGATGTACAGTGTTAGGAATCAATGTTTTAATAATATATAAGATGATCATCAAGATAATTTTAGAAGCATGTGGCATTTGTCCGGAAAAAATACACTTAGAGTCCAATACAGTCCACCACCCCTGGCCGTCCCCTCCTCCGCACAGCGAAACAATTGTCCAAGGGACCCTGTACACTTATTTAGAGATCTAAAGTGCTAGAAATTAATGTTTTACTAATCTATAAGATGGTCATAATCATATTTGAACATTATCTAATTTCCCAACATTTTATGTTATTGCCCCCATCTACAACCCCTCCCATTCACAGGAAAGGTTGTAAAAGGTGTTCTTTGTTCCCCAAATTACAAGCAATTGTCTAAGTGGCATCATATTACACTTATTCAGAGCAGTACAGTGCTATAAATTTTATGCTATTCGAATGTATAAGATGATCATCATGTATATCAACATTACCACATTTCTCTTGCACTTTAGGAATTGTCCTTAACCCGCAAGGCTATACAGTTGTTGCCCAGACATTGATCATATTTCCCACCAATTATAGGCATTGCCCCACCCCCTCACTTTTCCCCTCATGCACACAGCCAACACCACAAAGCAAACCAGTAGACCAAGTGCACTCTATCGACTATGTTATAGATCCGCATTGCTAGAAATTAATGTTTTACTAATCTATAAGACGATCATCAATACCAATATCGAACCATATGGTTTTTGTCCCAAAAATTGTTTTCTTTAGACTCCACTCTCCCCACTAAAATATTTCACGCCAATTTTCGGCATTCCACCCTACCCGCCAAGCTGAAAAGATTTCCATAGACACTTATTTAGAAATGTAAATTCCACCCAATTTAAGACATTGGACACATCCCACCAAATCCCCACGCCGTAACTCGGAAAGCCCCCCCCCCCCCTAAAAAAACAACAAAATCCCCCCAAAAACAAAAACAAACACCTGGTCACCATCCACAATCGAAATCTTCGTCCTAAACTGCTCTAGAAAAACTTGGTCTCGTAAATTCTCCTCTAGGGTGGCGATTTTGCCCTTGAACTATCGTCGTACTATTACTGATTTAGAGGCTGAGATATTGGTAGACATAAGGTTTTACACATAGCGGAAATTTGGAAGATCCAAGATGGCTGCCATAATATATTTGGAGGAAATGGTGCTCTTTCTAGATGGCATAATTGTATTCCTTGACCCTGGAAATGTAGGTTTATACACAAAGATTGCAATCCTAAGTGGTCTAGAAGCTGAAATATAGACCTAGGGTTTTTCATAGTTGAAATCTTGAAGATCCAAGATTCCTGCCATGCCATATATGGAGGAAGTTGTGCCTATGAAAACTAACCGTCCACATCCGGAACGTCCACATCCATGCCAGATCTGCTCCTGGACCGCCTGACTAGTTAAGCTGGTCCAGTTCAAGCGTCAGAGTAGGAAGTGGGGAGAGGGGCGTGGGGATGGGCGGAGCAGCTAAGTACAGCTTAACAAAACATTTACAAAGACAAATGACTCTTTCCCGTGTTTTGACTATTCTAAGTGCCCGTTCATTAGGAAAGTGACATTGTCCTTATTACACAATGTCGCTTGTATCCTGTGTTCAATTGGAAAACTATACACAAAATTATATACAACAAAATGTTTTTAAAAATTTATTGATGTGAATCAGTTCATCTTCCTGTTGGCTGTAACTGTAAAATAAAATAAACTGTATATTGTAGAATCCAGGGTCAGAACTTGGTAATTCTTACACTAATATGGTATTAGAAATGATCTTGCTCATCAGAAACATGTGACATAGGTATTCGTCTGCCTTTCAAGATATTCTAACTGCTTATGCTGAAAGCTAAAAACTATTTGGTCCAAACTCGACCACTGTGATTCTATCCACGGCAATATAAACACTGGTCACAATTTCCTATAGTATATAATGGTTGGGTTACATCAAATATTTTTTTTTTCTTCAATAAAGTTTTTTAACCCTAAAAAAACGACAACAGGAGGGGGTGTATATAGCTATCAAGAAAACAAATACCCGCCAGAGGCTATATTACATTTACTTTCACGAGTGGTATTACTGGAATTATTACATTGCGCATAAATCGCCAAACAATTTCTTGTGGGCTAAAAGTGTATGATAGAAAGTAGACGAATGCTCAATTATAAAAATGCTAGGACATTTAAATAACTGTTACAAAATCAATTGATTTAACATTATTTTAAAACATAGTAATAAAAAGCTAATATGTATTTCTTACATCTTTAGCGTGTTGATTGAATTCGGTTGGAGACACTGACCCATCGCCTGTAATTGAAAGAGATCAAATCAAAATGATGTTTCTAGATAACATTTAAAACTGGCCCCCGTTATAAATCTAAATTAAAATGTAAATTTCAAAATTACATTTGACATTACTAGATTATTTCGCGATTCCAATCGAACAGCTATCAAATCACACAAAATGTCAATTTCTAACCATTCCTGTTTCAATTCCTACTTGATCCTTGAACGCGAAGACATCGACGGCTCTACTAGTTATATTACCCGCCTAAAATCACAAAAACAAATCCAATCATCAAGAGTCACTAAAGTCAAACAATAATCGTCTGCCTACAGTGTGCAACGTGGTAAAATATTATTATTACAAAATGGTAAACGCAAATAAAACTAAGCAAATCATTTACTATGTACTTATAATTTGAAAACCTAACTCAATCCGTTAGATGCAGACGAAACAACTTGTCAGCTGATTATATTCATCAAAGCGTTTGTTTTCTATTGATTGTTCACATATATTGCACACACTGAACGGTCAAACACTATCACAAATCTGTCTGATCAACACAATATTTTGCCCCCCTTCCCAATAAGTTTAAAAATAAAACAAATATTTGTGATATGTTTCGGTAATCAATACCTTCTACGGTGATTAAATCCCACATTGCCACTCAGTCATAGATTACATGTTGCTAAGTCTGAGTGATTTCTTACCAAGCCCATCCTGCTGTAAACCTACTATAAACAATAATACGTGAACCATTTGAGAAGTGCTTTTTACGATCCTCAAAGTTTTTGGGTATAGGTTCAACACGACCAGAATATTCATTCACTTTGATACACTCACTGTGTTCATTTGACATCTCCCCCTCGGTTCGGATAAGCTACTAATTTGGCGACGAACAGTATATGATCAGCTTTATTTATCTGAACGACCAGTGTCTGAAATACTGCCAGGCTGCATTTCCGGCAGTCAATTTCTCAAGACATCGTGGTAAAAATATTCATTCACTTTGATTCACTCACTCCATTTGTTTGACACTTTCCTCTCTGGTCGGATAAAGTTTAACTAGGGGTTTGGCGACAGGCGGTATCTGGTGAGCTCTTTTTATCTCGACAATCGGTGCCTGACTGAATACAGTCTATTTTTCAAAATTTTCTGCGGGCGGTCCCCATACTTTGGCGCTCGTGACAGGGCTTCATCAAGATTCGCAAGTCCGTTCATTTGACACTTTATCACAACGATCTGCGAGACTGCATTTCCGGCAGCCAGTTTTTCAAAAAGTTCTGGTGTTGGCCGAGAAAGTCTCCGGGGGTTATATCCCGGTTAACTTTCGTCTGTGGTGCCAGACGGCAATGGCGGTATCTAGTCGTTCGAATGGAACTCGAAACGAAGGTCCCTTGTACACATTGGCGTGCACGTAAAAGAACCATTTGCAGTTTTTTTGGAATTCGAAATAACAGTAGACCGTAGCAGAAAAGTTGGACGTTAACCCCCATTCCATTTCACTACATTTCAATTTGTTGAGGTGTCCCATGTAATGTGTATGATTGCTAGGATGAAGAGTAGAAGTCGGTGTCGATAGATACCACTGGACCTATGTTATTATTGAAGTAACAAACATACCATTAATATCAAATTTAGAGAATAAATTTCCTAATTCAGATATATCCACTCTTCCGTCTCCATTTATATCATATACTTTAAATACACCGAGGGCTTGAGCTTGTGTCAATCCAGCTTTCGTTATAACCTCCGCCAGACTAACTTCACTGTTACCTTAGGAAAGAACATTGAGAGTATCGTGAGACACATATGTTTAATATTGTTAAACCAATGGATAATTCAACAGTCGGGGCACATTTTAAGCCACTTTCATTGAGAAATTTTAATCTCGTACATAATAATTATCTTATTTTCAGAAGCGGATAAGCTAAAAACCCATCTTCATTATAGATTACAGGTTTGGGTGGTCGAGTGGTTTAACGCGTGTGCCTTAGATCATAAGGTCTGCCATTGAATCAAATTGCGTAGTTTCGATCCCACACTTGTACGCGACACGCAGTAGGATCGGATATCCAACCTCCGGGGAGTCCCAGGGTCCTCCAACTGCTAAGCACCTTGTATCATGTTAGTCCCGAAATGAACTAGTTTGTGTCGACTGGACGTTAAACCACCCTCTCTTTGTTAGTCCCGAAATGACATAGTTAATTCATATATTTACTTGAAAATGTTTTCAAATTAACACCCTTTTATGGGGTTTGAATGTATCAGGAACCAGTTCTCAGTCGGACAGTAACCATACAAATGATGTCGATATGCTTCTGAGGTAACGTTTATAATCGATCACGTGGGGATCTTGAGTTTATGGTATGATGAACTCAAGTTTCTCCGTCATTAAAGTCAATGTGTTTACTTGAGACACCTTCACCCCCTTCCCACCAATTATTTCAACTAGAAATAGTACAAACCATCCAAATCATACATATTGAATAAACCTTCAAATTCAGCGTATTCCAGTTTCTGGTTTTTATTTCCGTCCAATTCTGAGAATTGCTGACCAAAACTACAACTATACACAAAATATATACTCATATTAACATCTTTAAATGAAAACAATGGTGGAAAAAAAAGCTCCATTTATTATTTTCATCTATTTTTGATATTATTAGAGATTACTAATGGTTGTAAAGTAAACTAAAGAAGGTGTCACAATAATATCTTCTTGTAGAGTAAACTGACGAAGGTGTCGCAATAATATCTAGTTGTAGAGTAAACTAACGAAGGTGTCGCAATAGTATATTTTTGTAGATTAAACTAAAGAAGATAACCTATTAACCCATGTCGCATGTTGTAAACTCAAGAAGATGACCCGTGTTGTAGGGTACATCAAAGAAGTAAACTCAAGTAAATACCACGTGTCGCAATAATATATTGTTGATGGGTACACTAAAGAAGATCTCGCAATCATATATATCGTTTTACAGTAGTAAACATAAAATACCTTACCTCACAAGAAACAGAGAAAACACAATAGCTGCAAATATGGTACTCATCTTGATCTTTAGATGAAAATATAAAATATATAATTATGTGACCTACGGGGCATTAAAGATACATTATGTAAGATTTAGATTAAGAGCCGGCAATGATGCAAAATGAATTTATTGAAAATTTCAATCAAATTGCTCCATTGCGAGCGAAGATATTAGCTTTTGAAGGTTTTACAAAATGTGTGCATTAATTGCAACCACCCCATGGTTTTTCGAAGCTTAGACTCGTTTCACCATTTTTAGATTAAATCAAAATATGGCTAGCCGTTCTAATCTACTTAACATCGGAGATATCCGATGACATCCAGGGTTGATTATGGTCTTGTCATGTTAATAAAAGTCTAATTAATAGTTTACATAACATTTCAGGCCCAAAGAAGGACCTGCAATAGGCAGATTTAGCTCTTGTATAATGTATGTTTAATTCAAATCATGACAAATACAGTGAATACAATAAGTCATACCCTGCATTGGTCAAATATCCGATACTGTCCGAAGGTCCGATAGATGGTGGTTCCGATAGTCCGAAACAAACATTTTGTACAAAAACCGAATTGTTCGGTCGAAGATTTACCGAATCTAACCGAATCTGTCCAAGATGTTTTAAAAACTACTTCTTACCGACGCCATAATAAATAAATGTGTTTATTCAATAAGAATTAACTGGGCTAGAATAGTTTGTTATTTATTGGCATAAAGGAATACAATTGCAAATTTGGTTGGTCAGATAGAATAATCTTTCCCTCAGTAACAAGTTACAGTTACGATTAGCTAATATAGAAAAAAAATGATGTACAATATTTTAAAACTGCGAAGATTTTGTTAGAAAAGTCAGTAAATCTATTATGTATGATAAGCTACTTTAAATTTGGGGCTATTGGACCTAACACCCCGTTATTTTAGGACAATCGGATCTTTCAAAATTGGTGTGAAACATTACGGTCATGTTCGTACGATTGATTTTACAACTTTCGATTCCATAATTAGCCACCCTTTTCTAAAAACCTTGTGGACGCGACAGGGGGTAGGAGGAGATGGATCCTGCAGATATTCAGCATTTTAGCTGATGTGTGGTTGTATTTCCTACACGGCCTACATATCAACTCCTGTTTTAAAACGCATATTACTCCAATGGTATCAATTCTTTAATTTTAACCAATTAACAGCTGAAAAAAGAACAAAAAAAAGCACCCCTTGTCGATTATGCTGACGGAAGGAATCGGAAATGAAATGGGGTTAAGCGTCCTATTGTTCTGCTCCGGACTGAGCTAATGAAGACGGGCATACGCCATACAGTGTGCTATGAGGGAAATTTTGCCCGGACAGCGGAACTATCGTATTCCAAAATGAAATGAAATGGTGTTTAACGTCCTACTGTTCCGCTCCGAACTGGGCTAATGAAGACGGGCATATGCCATACAGTGTGCTATGAGGGAAATTTTGCCCGGACAGCGGCACTACGGCCTACTCTTATATCGAATTCCAACTGTCAAGGGATATTTTACGTGCACGCCAATGTGTACACGGGACCTCGGTTTTTCGTCCTATCCGAACGACTAGACAGCTTTCCTTGTCAGCCCCCCCATCCTGCATCACTGACAAGGGATCGTATTCCGACTGTCAAGGGATCTTTTACGTGCACGCCAATACGGGACCTCGGTTTTTTCGTCCTATCCGAACGACTCGACAGCTGTCCTTGTCAGGCCCTCAGTCCTGCATCACTGACAAGAGGTGAACCACGCCGGAAAATCTAGATGAATTTTCTCTGCCAATGCAGGGATCAAACACCCGACCTCCAGGCTAACGAGCCAGCGTCTTACCTACTTGCCACCGTGACCCCCGTGGCCTTATACACATACAACAAACGCAGGTATGTATGGTGCATTTCACTGTAATGAAAATGGTACTTTACCCGATTGCTATCATCCCACCCATGCAGCCCGACCAAACAATAAATGTATCTTACCTATGGAATATTTCTTTACAATCTGCCTCGAATCAGTGATTTGAATAAGATATCGATGATACCTTTATATAGGCTACTAGATAAAGAGATTAGTCACTGACCATAAAGAGATTAGTAACAGATTAGTCACAGTCAGTAAAAGGTTATTTTCTTTTTTTTATCATATTATATTAAAGGGACATCATTTCGACTTGTGAAAGTGAGATTCAATATCAGAAAAAGATGAAGCGGGGGTTGGGTGTATTTTAACAAATGTTTGCGACTGGGTGTGGGTGTTGGAGTCCTGCAGGGGCTTGGAAGGGTGGGTGGGGGGCGTGTAGGTAGGGTGGAATCAAATATTATTTTTGCTGATATCGGTACATATAATGCCCATTCAGGAGATCAAAATAAAACCAACGCGCATTTCATACTTCATAATTTGTTTAAAATGTCAAAACGGTTCTAAACACTTTAAATCAAATTACAAACCATCCCGCCATTAATTTATACGTTTTTGTTACGGGTGTGGTGCAGCAGCTGGACGAAGGCTCACTCTACCACATTTTTTTTTGTCGTACTTTCAGATCTGATTTCTAATTTCTTTCAAAAATAATAACATTACTAATAATTAATGGAGCGGCCAACTGTTATAATTATGTATAAATGTTTGTTTTGTTTTATTATCAAATATGTAGCTTCATATATATAAGCTATGCTTCGTATGTATATAATAAACATGCATTGTGCAAGAGCTAAATCTGCCTATTGTAGGTCTTTCTTTAGGCCTGAAATGTTATATCAACTATTATCTAGATATTTATCAACATGACAAGACCATGATCAACTCTCGATGTCAACGCTAGCCTGCGATAATTGTTGAATTATGATTCGATTTGCTGCATAACTTTCCTTCTCGATTTAACAATTAAATGGATAATCAAGACTATGATTTTTGTCGGACCGACTTCAGTAATGATGACCGAGGTTATGCGAAACTTTCGATCGCTTATTTCTCGGTTCATAGTGGATCAATTTGACTGGAATTTTCAGCAAATTGCCTTTACATTATGTAGTTTTTAACTATTATTGTGACAACTGCCAACTCGTTATCTAATCTCCCATAATGTATCTTTAATATTTTTTTGTTTATATAATTCAAATTGATGGTGAGGCGTCAACATAGTTCTAACCGGTTCCCTAATCCAATTTTCCGTAAACCGTGTGTTCTTAGACTGGATTAGTGAATCAATTTTTATGTTTATGAAACATATGTTTATTATGTCTCTTTGAGATAAGATATATAGAAAGACATAATACATAAAACCTTATCTATTTTATTGTATGTACATTTACCAAACCAACAGAATTATCTAAAATAAACAAGTGGATAATAGTTACGTTGGCTCGTGGCTGTATCAGAGCCATTACAGAGGCACAAGCCCATCTCGACAATGTGAGGATGTCACCCCCCCCCCCCCCAAAAAAAACCCCTCCAAAAACAACTATACATTATGTTACATAATCACAGATGTTATAGACGCTTCCTGCCACTTTGACACATGGAAGTGATTTTAATATCAACCTGTCCGAACCCTAGAGTTCTTGGTAGCCTTTCTTATGTGATTATGTAATCTTAAATCTTAACTTGTTGTTGGCATGTTTTATTTAAACTTTCTTTGTCTGATTAGCATGTATCGAATGTTAAACCTGATATGATATATGATACATTAATTAAGATCCTTTGTTTGGAAGGGTTTATAAACCCAGATAACAAACGAATCGACAGTCAGGACACGAGAGCGGCGGCCGTGGGCGCCTTGGCACGGGACGAGACGGAACGAGGGAGAGCGCCTGAGAGTTGGCACATTTGTGCCAAGCTAGGACATGGCTCCCTCAATACAAGCTAGTTCTGGGTGTCTTTAACATTACGATGTTTGTATATAATATGTTAGGAGAAGAATAAAAGTATGATATGAAGTTAAACTAGTTTTGTAATCAAGAACCTGATAAAAAGTAATACTGTAACAATTGCCCCATGAGGAAAGAAAGGGCACACAAATACAAAGTGATATTCATTTTCGATTTCATCATTTTCACAGTGCCCAAATTCTATTTTCTCTCGGCAGTGATACCTATCTTCCAGTTTCATGTCTCAATTTATGACTAGGTAATCTTAAATTTGTTATCTCCTTTTTAAATATTGGCTTAATGTCTAGACTAGACATCAAAGTGGTTAACAATATTTCTATAAATAATAATAATATTTAATAATCAAACATGCATTATGCAAAAGCTAAACCTGGCTATTGCAGGTCTTTCGTTATGTCTGAAATGTTATATCAACATTTATCAACATGACAAGACCATAATCAACTCTCGATGCCATTGGATGGGTCCGATTTTAAGCAGATTAGAACGGCTCAGTCATGTAACCAGTACTGTGGTTACAATCAGTGCACATATCTTGCCAAACCTTCTAAAGCTAACATCTTCGCTCAGAATAAAGTAATTTGAATGAAATTTTCAGTATATTTATTCATTTTGCATTATCTATTTTAGAACTATTATATCATCTAAATCTTACATAATGTATCTTTACTAATAATTTATTCAATTACAAGGCGTCCAAAATCCAGCTAAAAGCTGCTCAATAGCGCCAATACAATAACAAAGGGTACTCATACAATCAAGAAGTTCAGTATTAAACAGGAATTATGAAGTTAAATCTGTCTATTGCAGGTCTTCTTTAGGCCTTTAATAATGTCATATAAATTATTAATTAGGCAGTAATTAACTTATTAAGGCCATCGGATAGCTTCGATATTAAGTAGATTTAAACACGGTTTGCGGTTGATGCGGTTACCGTAAAAATGGATCGAGACTTTGTTCATCATCGTTACCACGGTAGCAATGACAATCTAGGCTACACTATAATTGTATCGCCGATAGCTAGGCTCAGAGTGAAGTAATTTGAATGAAATTTTCAACATATCCCCTGTTCATTAGCCCTATCTATTTTTTAAAACTATATATTATAGCGAGGACTGTCAGCTCTTTAAATGATCTAACCTAATGCCACTTTACGTTTTCGGTAAATACACACGAAACAATAATTAACAATTATTGACGATAACAAAAGTTATTATTACTTTAAAAAGTTCTTTTAAAAGTTCAGTTTTAAGTACACATAAAATTGAAAGGTCTTACAAAAAGTTTAGTATTAAGTTTTCAATAAAGACCATAAAAAAAATAATTAAAATTTCTTGACATTTAGAAGATCTGTCATATAAACAAAATGACAATATCTGGGTTAAAAAACCCCAAAAAACCCACCCCCACTTGCATTTTTCTCTACCATATATAACCCAAACCAATAGCAATACTATGTTATTCAGACTTTACATTATTTAATCCATTTATCATTGTTAGTTAACATGTTTTTATAACAAGCTTTAAGGACAACATTGCCTGAATATTCGCAATTTTCGATGCATAACAGTTAAAGGGTATCGTCCAGTTTCAAAATAGACCACAGACGTGTTAGTGCTTTGTCTGACTTCAAGAGTTCTTTTCAGAATGTACAGATGCAATAATTCGATATCGTTGGCTTTATGGAAACCCCATACTTCTCATGTCATTATTGCCTCCTAATAATTAATCCAAGCGGTGATTATTTGAGGTTTGGTCTTAAAACATAAAAAGAAATAATTCTTTTCGAAGAGAATAAAATATTTTAATAGTTGAATTTCGTTTACTGTGTGTTTATACGGCTTGTAAAATTTACAAGCATGATTAATTGAATATTATTATTTCAAATTATATTATAAACATGAGTCGGAAACGTAAGTACGATTTGAATGGCGACAATTCTCAAGTGGGAAAACGGTACGCCGTCATAATGCTCTAAATTGAACGACGACGAGTCCCTCATAACACACTGAATAGCGTAAGCCCGCCTTCATTAGCCCAGAGCAGAACTACAGAACGTTAAAATCTATTTGACTTCATTTCATTCTGCTCCGACTGGGCTAATGAAGTTGGAAATACCCTATACAGTGTATTATAAGGGAAACTTTACCCGGATAGCGGCGCTACGGCCTACTCTTGTATTGAATTCCAACTGCCAGGGGGTCTTTTACGTGCACGTCAATAGATAAATGGGACCTCGGTTTTCAGTGCCAAGCCCCCCCCCCCCCGTCCTGCACGACTGTCAAGGAGGAATCACTCCGGAAATGGGGTTTAATGTCCTATTTTTCTGGTAGTCACGGTGACTCAGTGAGTAAGACGTTGACTAGCTAACGTTGAGGTTTCGAGTTCGATCACTGCGTTGGCCGAGAAAGCTCATCGGGAATTTTCCGGCATGATTCCTCTTTACAGTGGTACAGGGTCTGGCAGGGGATAACGTCTTTTGGATGGGACGAACAATCGAGGTTCCGTGTACATATTAGGACGTTAAACTCCATTTCATTTCGTTCTGCAAGGACTGGGCTAGTAAAGATCTGAACGACTAGACAGCTGTCCTCGTCAGGCTCTCCTTCTTGCACCCCTGACAAGGGGAAACCACGCCGAAAAATCTCGATGAACTTTCTCGTCCAACACCGGGAGCGAACCGCGACCGCCAGGCTAGCAAGCTAGGCTTTCACTCACTTAGCCACTGTGGCTCTCGTAGCAGAACAGTTGGGACGTTAAACCCCATTTCATTTTCCTACTTTTCTGGACCAATCGGACACACGCTATGCAGAGTGATATGGCGGAAATTTTCAATGGACCGTATTTCTTCATCGAATTTCAAATGTGAAGGATTCTTTTATGTACACGCCAGTGTGTACACTGTAGCTTGGTTTTTTGTCCCACCTACAATACTAGGCACTGTTCTTTATCAGGTCATTTGTTCTGCACTACCGACATGGAGAAACCACGCTGCAAAATCCCGGGGAACTTTCTTGACCAACACCAGGATCAGTGTACATAATCATTGAGAGGAAAATGGCCGATAACCCGACATCACGACAACCCGACACCACGACATCACGGGTTGTCGTGGTGTTGGGTTAAGATGTCGTGATGTCGGGTTGTCACCTTATGAAGGGCGACATCACGACATCACGACATAATAACATCAGCCACAATACATTTACCATACCAATAGAATTATCTTAATTAAACTAGCGCAGTGGTTCCCAACCTTCTGTTGGTTGCAACCTCATTTCAGAAAACATCATCTATTCGCGATCAAAATGTTGTAATGAGAGAACGAGGAAACAAATAGTGAGAGTGAGAGAGGAAAGATGATTGGTAATGTGGCAAGAGCTGTATAGATCAGAGATTTACGGGGCTGGCTGAAAAGTTCTAAGTCTACCTGTTAAAGACCTGTACAAAGTTGACGGTTGCCATTTTCTTCTATAACATGGTCCCCTTCGACGTGTACACACTTTTGTCGACGATGTTGCAAGGCTTGAATGCCGGTCAAATAATCGTTCATCATTACTAGGAAAAATGAGACAGGTCTCATCCGTGGTTACAAATCTAGCCAAAAATATTATCAGGAACTGCTTCAAAATGGCGCAGGTTTTCACGGGACGTCAGGAATCTGACACGCTTCTGATCCGCAGTCAAAGGGTTTGGCACACATCTTGCAGAAACATTTGTCATTCGTAACTTGTTGGCGATAATGTGGTCATGCCCACAACACTGGCAATATGTTTTCACGGGACGTCAGGAATCTGACACGCTTCTGATCCGCAGTCAAAGGGTTTGGCACACATCTTGCAGAAACATTTGTCATTCGTAACTTGTTGGCGATAATGTGGTCATGCCCACAACACTGGCAATATGTCGAGTGGTCAATCGTCGATCAGCCATCACCATGTCATGCACCCAGATACTGTTTTGTTGAATGGTTGCCGTTGATGGCATATCAGGACACGGGTCATCTTCAAGGCTTTTTCTGCCACGCTTAAACTCCGCAGCCCTCTTCTTTCTCGTGCACAAGTGGAAGCCATGTCGGCATGTATTTGTGTTGGGGTTATAGTCCTTTCAGTTGCAGGTACTTCATGACTGCTCTGTAGCCAGTTTTGTCCATTTTCTAGTGACTTCAATGTGTAAATTCACAAGATGATCTGGTACGAAGGCAATAAAAACACTACAGTTGCAGTTCTTATGTCTATATTCATTGAATGATTGTACTTAATTTTCTGTTAGTGGCAAAATTTGTTTCAACCCAACTGGTCTATTCTTTTCAGACTTAGAACTTTTCAGTCAGCCCTCGTAGTATAACACTACAAATCCCTATAGAATCGATGTAAAGGCCCAGACTCGGATTACCGGTCTTAGAAGTTTGCTTTGCCTGCGTCTTGTTATTCGAGTCTATGAGTCGTTCCGTCACAAAACTAGGCTTTTTAGAAATTGACGTTTAGAACCAAGTTTAAGTCTTCATATCATCATATACTAAGCAGCAAAAGACACATCAGGTTGGTATGTTGCATAGAACTTGCCAAATGTTTTTATTGTATATTTGTGACCACATCTCCAACTTTACCTGATCAATAAGATTCCTTCCCAAACACAGAATTGAACACAGGAAATGTTCTCAAAAAGGCAACCTGACTTCTGAGATGGTAATATGTTCTCTATGATTTTCATGTAACTCATGCTGCACGTGCTGTTCAACGGGACCAGCCCTATAAAATACACCCCCATACCTGGTTGAATCATTCACACTACAACGCCAGGTCAATGTTCGGACCATCCACAGACTTCAGCAATGATTCCGGGTCACCAACACCATGGATGATCGTCCCCGAACTGGTAGACCAAGGCGACAAGACCGCCATGTTATGCGACAGCACGTGCAGAATCCCTTCACAAAGGCATCTGAGACAGCACGTCAGACAGTGGGAACACACGAAAGACCCTTCAGTACCGATACAGTGCGCCGACGTCTCACCAGAGAGAACATCCATTACCTTAGACCTTACCGTGGACCGATCCCCACCCCTCGCCATCGACGTGAACGTCCACAGCTTCCCAACAAAACCAGAACTGGCGACACACTGCAGGCCCGGCGGAGTGGGGGGGGGGGGGCTAGGGGGGTCCGCAAGTACTCTTTTCTCAAGGTTATTGCGGCCCCTGGACCCATGCCTAAAAGGACCTAGGCATGGAAGCCCCCCCCCCCCCAATCAAGAATTGCTTCCGCCGGCCCTGCACAGGCAATGGAGAACAAAAAAAATTTTTGATCCATTTAGTAAGTCGTTTTCTAGAATGATTTGATTAAAGTGCCTCTGCATGATTTTGAAAACGCATTGACGTTTTTTTTGGGTTTTTTTGCTGTTTAGTATACTTACCAAGTCTGTCATATTTTTAAAGTTTAGCATATAGATATTTTGAGTTGACAATAAAGTCTAAATCGGCGCCTCATAAGACCTTCCACGTTGGAAGTTGTTTAAGGTAACTATTCTAACGTTCGATATTTGATCATAGATATAAAATATATACAAGTAATATATTATAAAATATCGGAATGAAATGAAACCATAAATATATACAATATATTATAGAATATCAGAATGAATGTAACCATAAATAAAACCATGTATATATTATATTATGTAAGATTTAGATAAATAGCTAGCCATTCTTGATATAATAGTTCGAAAATAGATAATGTAAAATGAATAATTTGAAAATTTCATTCAAATCACTCTATTGCGAGCGAAGATATTAGCTTTTGGAGGTTTGACAAGACGTGTGCAATAATTTCAACCACCATACTGGTTGTTCGAAGCCAGGTCTCGCTCCTCCATTTTTAGTTTAAATCAAAATATGGCTGAACTGTTCTAATCTATTTAATATCGGAGAAATCCGATGCCACCGAGAGTTGATTATGGCATGGTTAAGTTAATTAATGTCTAATTAATAATAATTTTAAAAAAACATTTCAGGCCTAAAGAAAGACCTGCAATAGGCAGATTTAGCTCTTGCATAATGTATGTTTATAGTACACAATAACCTTAATGCGCAAGAGAAATTAGGCCTGATTAATTTACGAAACAATAGAGACATAATTATCAAACAGGCTGATAAAGCTGGGGTGATTGTAATTTTAAACAAGTCCTTATATCAATCTAATATATTACAAATGCTCCAAGATAAACAATACTATAATCCATCTAGTGAAAATATCAATAGTAATATAAAACGTAATATAAGGCATTTTCTAAAAGATTTCATTTGTCAATTTACTGATAAAGAATATGAATATTTGACCGAATTCGAACCACAAACGGCAAAATTTCTATGGTTTTCCAAAACTTCATAAAAGTAAACTCATCCAAGAACAAATTAAGACTAACAAAAGTATAGTTATATGCATTGAAAATCCACCAGACCTCAAGTTTAGACCTATAGTTGGAGGGCCGAACAATTGGTACACAAAGGCTCAGTAATTTTATTGATATTATTCTCAAACCATTATATACGCACGATAAAAGTTTTCTTTGTGAAGACATTGATTTTCTACACCAGTTACCTAAATCCGTAGAACCAGGTAGTACACTTATCAATCTAATTAAAATATAGATCATATATTTCGTTTCGTTTTTTATACTTTCGATGGCCTACACTACAATAGTAGTAGTAGTTAGTTGTATTTTACGTCCGCTTCCACCAATATGTAGATCTAACAAGTTATAGTGGGAGTTCACGTTCTATGACGTCAGGTACCAAGCAAGCGATATCACTCGGCAAACCTCGGCAGATTCCGGTACCCTACATCTAACCTCGGCTGTATGATAGTAATTGATATGTACCTACGCCCATACATTTGCGATGCGGCTACCGGTTTACTTTAACAGGAAACGTGCCGCTTTTACAAAAAAGTCCCAAAATGGCGTCTTTTGTCGAGTGTATATAACTAAACGAGCAGAGATATTGTCTCAAGGCTGCTGGTTTGATATAATTCCCTGGTAATTCCCCAAACCGAATGCCAAACTTGACGTTTGTTGATATAATACACTCTCCACAGAAATCTCCATGGGCGCAACCATTTTTCATCCGGGACCTTTAAAATAGTTCCAATATGGCGGAATTCGTCACACAGCCGAGATTAGATGCGTAGAATCTGTCGAGGTTTGCCGAATGCAAGCGACATTTGACCCGATTACGTCAGTCATTCGATTAACCAATTAGCGACCGCCATGTATTTTTTTTATCTACTGTTGCTTTGTTTTGATTTCTAATGCCACTAATGTCTACCCACAGTTCCGCGCAAAAAAGGTCAAACGTTCGATTCGACAGACCATTTGATTGACTGACCCCTCATTTCAAGCAGAACACGAGTTAAATAACAACGCTTCCAGAACCAAGTGTAGTAAAGACAAGTAAAATCGAAATTTTGAACTATAAAAACGAAACGAAATTGGGTCTGTGTTTTAATCAGATTGTACACTTATTAGCCTTAATGTAGTAAACTTATATACATGAAATAATATTGATCGAACACTAGGATTTAAAGCTATTGAGTACTGGATAGATAATCCAGAAGAGATACCAGATTGTTTTACAAAATCTTTTATATTAAACGCACTTGATCTGGTCATATCCAATAATATATTTTATTTTGATTAAAAGGTATTGCTATGGGAACGAAAGTAGAGCCAACGTATACTCTAGCCTGTCCTTGGGATAAAGGAAATTTGGTACACTAAATTAGATATAACTTTTGGCGCCACCTTTTGTAACTATACAAACTTCAATGGAAAAGGGGATATTGAAATGCAAATACCTATGCAGGTTGTGATATAATAAATAGCCATGGACACTTGACATGCTTTGAGAGTATGTTCACAGATGAAAAACTTATCGCCCCAACAGAACCACCGAGCTGCATGTGCGACACGCAATTTATAGCGCCATACACGTGGGAGGGGTTCATTGTCAAATTTGACACTTCAAGGAAGGGTTGATGAAAACTGCCGCTTGCTGGTTTATCTTATCCATGTTTGCTTTCCTATCGGTTCTTGCATAAGATTTTCTGTTAAGCGTATCTTTGTTTTAGTGTATTACGTTTAATTTGATCCGAATACCTGTTCGTCGACGTCACATAAACCGACAACACTGCAAGAATTGGCCGTGGCACTGCAAGAGGAGTGGGTCAGATTGCCCCAAATCGTGATTGAACGGTTGATTATTAGCATGCCACGACAAATTGCTGAATGTCTGAGGATTGGTGGAACAATTACTCATTATTAAGACAAAAATCAAAAACGCCCATTTTCACTTTTGACAGTGTATCTCTTTGCGAGTGAAATGGGACCGTTAGATAAGCCGCCCATATGAACTGTTTGTGTTCATGTGTAGGCAATTGGCCTGTTATTAACATACACTGGTTACCTCTAATAAAAACAGCAGTGCATTTCTGCAGTTTTGTATTGTTTCTGAATATCCCCTACTTTTTTTTTAAGAGTATATTTAACTAAATTTGACATCAAATTGTTAATAATAATAGTAGGCCCTAGTATACTGATCGGATATGACGTCATTCTATTGCTATTATTTTTGTTTATATAGTTACGCTATCATATTAAAGTCTAAAGAGGTTCCGATGGAACTGAAAGCGCTAGCTTAAAATAATGTGGTTTGTTTTCTTTTCAATATATTAGAGAATATCGGAATGAAATGTAACAATATATATACAAGTTAGAGACTATCGGAATTATATGTAAATAAATATATACAAGTAATATATTGGAGAATATGGGAATGAAATGTTACCATTGATATAAAATATATACAATATATTATAGAATATCGGAATGATATGTAATAATAGAGTAATATATTATAGAATATCTGAATGCTACCAGACGAATTGTTCCAATTGGAATCAATCTACGTCCGCTACAGTTTTATGTTTTTATTTTTTTAGAGGAGACATATATCATCTCGAAACACAAAGTTACTACAGCCAAAAATAAACCAATTAGTAAAAAATAAAAGACACTCTGTAAGGAGGCAATGTCAATAACTGTAGAAATAGTTTGGGTCATGGAATCACATTTTTCTGAACGCCACCATTTTCTTTTCCAAATGTCCATCAAATTACTTTCTAGTACTAGTAATGTTCTACAAAATAAGACATGTATTCAGTTTGTATAATAGACAGTAAATTATGTTGAAAGACATTTCGTCAACATTACTGAATAAAGAGACACAAATCGTCAATAAGACTTTGTAAAAAGGTTGTACAGTTATTTTATAAAAAGTAGAAAAAAACATTATGCTTTGCTTACATGTGAGATATTTGACGCGTGTAAGCTGAGTTGTTTTGTAAACCAATGGAATAATCAAATGAGAAATCAGTTTCCTTGATCTTTTTAATATCACAGTTCCGTGATGCCCAGTCATCGTAAATACTTGAATCCGCCAAGAGCACATACTTTGAGTTTAAAACCAAATCGTATTGCACATCCGCATCACCGCTCAGTATATTCGGGTTCGTTTGATTTTCGCGAACAATACCGCTCCACACCTGTTGAAATATCTGATCATCTGTTTCCTGAATAAAGAAATTTAATAGCATTAAATTAGGATATGGAACCGGTGTGTAAAGAGCTGAGGCGAGAGCACGCATACACGATACCAGTCACCACTGCAGTCAAATTGTTTGGAATGGAATTTCGATGTTACTACATGTAGGTAGACAGAATGAAGTTATATATACATAGTAACTTTCGTGCCAGTGGCTTGGAAGCTTATAGGGGACCAGGGGTCAACAACGTAATAGATACCGCAAATATATTAGGTGATATGCCGAGTTAATTGAATTAACGGACAATATGTCGAGTGGTCAATCGTCGATCCGCCATCACCATGTCATGCACCCGGGTAATGTTTTCTTGATGGCCTTCCAGTACGCGGGTCATCGTCACGGCTCTTTCTGCCATGCTTAAACTCCGCAGCCCACTTCTTTTCCGTGGAAAAGGAAGTGGCACTATCCCTTAAATTGACGACCATGCCGGCATGTATCTGTGTTGGGCTTAGTCCTTTCAGTTGCAGGTACTTGATGACAGCCCTATAGCAAGCTTTGTCCTTTGTGGTGATTTCAATAGTTGCAGTTCTTATGTCTATCATTGTACATGTTGCTGGCAAAAGTTTGTTTCAACCCAAATGATCTATGGAGCGTCGATTTTAACTCGGTAAGACTGGTCTGTTCTGGGGTAAAATCATCCCAACGATCCCTATTTGATATAATATTACGTTATCGCGGTATATCTATACCTCAATATTGACACCTATACACTTCCATACCGGGGTTCAGAAGTGTCTGCTTTGAAACCTTTGTCGGAATTGAGCATGTTGTGGTATGTAATGGTAAAATTTTAAAATGAATTTCCGTTTATTGCATGTGACGAATTGTAGAACACGTTGTGGCTGATAGAGTCTCGGTTTACAACAATAATTTAAATCCCAGAAAAGAAATACAAAACTTAGAACCATAGAACCTTGTTTAATTTAGGTTTAATTCAATTGCTAAGCTGCAATACGAAATGAAATGAAATGAAATGGGGTTTAACGTCCTACTGTTCTGCTCCTAACCTGGGCTAATGAAGACGGGCATACGCCATACAGTGTGCTATGAGGGAAATTTTGCCCGGGCAGCGGCACTATCCCCGACTCTTATATCGAATTCCAACTGCCAAGGGATCTTTTACGTGCATTCCAATGTATACACGGGACCTCGGTTTTTCGTCTCATCCGAACGACTAGACAACTGTCCTTGTCAGGCCCTCCGTCCTGCATCACTGACAAAGGGAAACCACGCCGGAAAATCTGGATGAACTTTCTCGGCCAATGCAGGGATCGAACATCCGACCTCCAGGCTACCGAGCCAGCGTCTTACCCACTTAGCCACGTGATCCCCAAGCTGCAATACGAAATCCCGTTATTATACTATCACAAAATTGTGATTTATTTTCTTTCGATGTAGAATTATTCACGGCTATCTAAAAGTGTTTGTTTTATATTTATTTGTCTGCATGTAATACCTACACTAAAAAGAGGGACGTAGAGAGTCTGTGAAAATGTTCCCCAAGTATACTCTTTCTGATTTACCATTTCTGACAATGTATCAAAGGGCAATTTATCCTTGGTGACAGTCAAAGTTGCTACAAGAGTTCCACTGTAGGAAGCTGCCAAAATGATGCAAAATATCCACCAACAGCTAAGAAATATGCGCCCTGCCATTGCCTCGGGTTGATTTGTGCTACCTAAAATCAAATAATTTGATAAAAGACATTTTTTGGAACCATTTTCTCAATCGGCACACTAATAACAGATCTGATCAAAATCTAGGATTTTCCAATTAATATTTATTTTTTAAAATATTTTGACCCCTTCTTGTTATAAGAGCAAGGTTACGTAACTTGTGTTATTTGAAAGTGAAGGAGATATAGAGACCAGAGTTTCCAACGACTTCGACCTCATTATCTTAAGTCCCTACAAATGTTAATCATTATTAACACAACTTACCATGTGCTACCAACGCTCCATATAAATATTCCAGTCTTCTACAGAATGATTGGTTAGGTGACGTCAGATAGAAGGGATTAATAAGTTCAATAATATGAAATATAAAAGCTGCTCCGGCTAAAGATACACCAATACATAACAGTACTTCCCATGTTAATGGTTTGATTAAAGTTAACCATTTTTCATCTTGTAAGTGCCGTAATCGAAACATTGCGACCCCCTGATTGAATAGATAGGGGAATGTAAAGTCCATAACTTGTTCACGTTCTGGAGATATTCCAATGGGGGCCACAACCATCTCCGCTTCCTTCCAAAAACAAATATACCAAAACAATGAAAAATACACGCAAGCTGAACAATAAGTAAATGACTGGACGTATGTGACCATTGTTGAAGGCTAACAATAAGTAAATAACTGGACGTCAGCGACCATGAAATGGGGCTAAACCGTGTTACCCTTTTACACCAACCGAGCTAGTGAATAGATACATAGATCAAGCAGTAAACTATACGACCCGCTCTTCGATTTCCAGTGGTTTGCTGCTAATGGTATACATGCGAACTCGGTAATTCGAATGACTAGATGACAGTGGTGTGCTTAAGTAATAGAAATCTACAAACGGACCTTTTTCTGTAGCATTCTGATTAAACCAGTCCATTCACCATTTATTCTTCTACCCCACTCATTATCAGTCGGAAAATATAGACTATATCTATTAAGAGAAATAACATCATATAGTATATTACCCCATTCAATATCAGATGGGATGATAGGACGGGTCGTGAATATTGCTCAAATATTAAAACTAACCAAATATCGACCGCATCATCATATCGTGGTACACACAATAAAATAACAGCACACACGATATAAGCGTCATTTCTAAACATAACAAAATGGAAATTCGCACAATCAAAATACAATTTTAAGAAAAAGTAGCGAACTTCTTTATAAAATACAAAACGTTCTAATCTCCAGAACATAACATCAAGAACCTATCTCAGGATCGTTGCATCCGGTTACGGTAATTGGACGGTAGTTGTTTGTAGTACCGTAATCCTCTTGTAAGCTGTAACTGCATCCTTTCTATATCTTGCTACCATGGAAATATCATCACCCGGTCATCCTCGAAAGTCGCATTTTAATAACCCTCTTATGTTATTTTTCGATGATTTCAATTATCAATATGTATATTTTGATGTATATTGTACTATTCAGTATAAGACTAGGGGTTTCTTCCTTACTACGTTTTATCATAATTTGTCCACTAACAGTAATTACACCTTGTAACATGCTTAAGGTTGAATCTTGCGTTTTGATTGGTCAATTAGACACTGTCGATTGTACACGCCTCTGTGTTAGTAATTTCCTTTAAAATGCTAAAATAGCATGTTACAATGTCGATAAAAACGTCCTGTTTCGCATTTAGAGGGGTGTTATTGTGTAATAGACATGTCCTGAGATTTTACATTAGAAATCGCGACGCTAACGCATCTTGGGTCCTTATGATCTCAGGACATGTCTATTGCGCAATAACAATCCTCTAAATGCGAAACAGGAAGTGTTTATCTCCTAAATATTTGTCATAATTTCCAACAATTTGTATTCTATTCTAAATGCCATCACCAACATTCCAAAGACTGCAAAATGGGGATAATAATGTACGATTGAAAAACTACAAAATAGTATAAACACACCTCAATGTTTGTATTTCTACTCGGATGACAACTATGAATATCGATTAGTGTTTCCAGTGGCGTTTCAAAATATCAAAAGGATCGAATAAAAGTATTTATCATTCTATGGTCACTACAATCTAGACGCGTTCGGCACTTTTGGCGTCCTTGTGGGAAATGGTGTTTCTAGTGATAGCTAGGTAACAACAACAAGGGTTCATGAATGTCAGGAGATTTCTTGACTCAAAAATGATAGAGGTTTGTTTCTTTAGGAGATTTTACAAGCAATATTTGGAGCAAAATGTATCAAAAACATCAAAATTTTCTCCGGCATGCGTCACGACGGTTTAGTGATAGATCTAGTGGAAATTCAATACGATCGACATATGGCCACCATTTTAAGTTCAGATTCAGACCGTGTAGCATTGCATACCTATAACAATGAAGAGAATGAAATAGCTGCTATGACTGTAATATGACAAGGGGCAAAGAAAGCTAGGCATTGGCTTTGTTTTGCAAAATTTACAGACTAAATATTAACAAAAAAAGTGGGTGCGACACCGCCCCAGGCGACTGCAGGCGATACAAAGACACACACAAATATTGGGCGTGGCTCTGTTCCAGGGGGTCGGGCATACACCAAAAATAATAGAGGACCTCCTTAGGGTATACGGAATAAGTATGAAGAGTTGTCAAGACGATCCATTAAGTTAGGAATTGCAGCCTGTAGGCGACACACAGACACACAAATTGAAAATAGGCGTGGATCTGGCTCTAGGGGTTGGGCATGCAGCAAAAACAATTGGGGTGATCCTTAGGGTATAAGGAATAAGTATGCAAAGTTTCAAAAGAATCTGTTAAGAAGTGCGGCCTGCAGACGACTAACAAATACAACAAAATGGGCGTGGCTCTGCCCCTGGGCGGGGACATGCATTAAATACAATAGAGATCACCCTTAAGGCATAAGAAATAAGTATACAAATCTTCAAGACAATCCATTAAGAATTGCGCCAGAGACACGAGCGCGCACCCCCCCCCCCCCCCCCCCCCACACCCACACACCCACCCACCCACACATATTTCAGGGTGTGTGTGCAGGGAGTCCGAAACCCACACAAAAAGATTTTCAGACATCATACCCTATATTTTGAATAGATGCTCGTGTTTCGAATTACCCATCCCGACCCCCCCCCCCCCAACAGCAATGCAAACTCTATTTCATCAGTTATTAATAGACAATATAAACAAAAAATAAAATCTTTAATTATTTTTAGTGGAATAAATAACTTACGTAAAATTAAGTTGAGCTGAGATGACTTTCAAAATATCAACACATAAACCTTTATATCCGTCACCTGTTCCTGATGAATCTTTTATAACAAACGGCTCCCACTGTTAAATAGATTCCAGACATTAATTAGCTTTTCTGACATGGCATTTTTATTTTCTCTTGCATTCATCGAAATAGGGTCGAATAAACATGCGAAGCATTACCGCCGTTTTGACCTCAATGCACTATAATCTGATTTATATATGTATGCACCTAAATTAGCAGAAATATTGTTTCGGAGCTTGATTTTTAAAAACTCTTTCAAAATACCTTTATGAAAGCAACAGAACGTAGACACAATCAAACTAAATTATAATGGTATGTTATTATATAATGTATTACTAAATAAGAACAGATTCTAATAAAAATTAATTTATTCTTACATTCCAATATAATGCTATATTAAAAATAATAAATATTCGATAGGTATAAAATATTAATGTTTTAGATATCCATATTTTTAATAGTTATTTTGTTCCGTTGCTTTCAGGTGAACCGTAACTTACACTGAAAAAAATTTGCGATAAAAAAACGACACGTACCGTGCTCGTAAAAGAAATTCGAAATAATTGTAGGCCGTAGCGCCGCTGTCCCGGCAAAGGTTCCCCAACCGCACATATCATTGCGTATGCCCGTCTTCATTAGGTCGATTGGTACAGAAAAGTGGGACGTTAAACCCTGTTTGATTTCGTTTATTATTGTTGTTACATACCTAGCTATATATTGGTATTTTGTTTTATTTTAAGACCAAGTACTCCATGGAAATACTGTTTACACATCTGTGACAGTAGATATGCCTACCAGTTCCCCAATTTCAATACTGTAGTCTTAAAGGATACAAACATTTTCCCGAATATCAAATTTCGCTTATTCTCTGTCGTTTCTGTCCATTTGTCAGGAATTATGGAAGGCGTATGGAAGGGTATTATTACTAACAGAATAAGGGATATTTACAGTAGATAAAACTCAGAAAAGGCCCCATCCCGAAAGTTTGGTATGTTAATGTTATCCTTTGAATAACTTAATATCACTATACTATTCTGACAGGATTAAATAATCGTAACCATTAGTAGGCTACTCTTTTATGCTATACTGGATACAGAATTGGCAGATCATACATACGTATTTTTTTGCTACCTAACTTACATTGAAAAGAACTTAAGTTAGAGTGTAAATAAATTGAAGGGATGTATCAGGGTGGTCTAGAGAGACATAGCATACACGACACAAGTCACTATTTGAATAAAGTGAAAAATATATAAACAGTTTACCTCTTTTGTCCCCACTCTAAAGTGTATTCCATTTAAGGCATATTTTATATTAGGGAAAATATCATCTTCACTCCACTGTAAGCAATTAAGCGAGCGTTTACTAAACTCTCGTTGCCGTCCAGGGCGCCACATTAGTTGATGTAAGTCGAGGTTTTTCTACAGAACAGAACAATAACGCGTTTGATTATAAAATATGTTATTAACAAGGATTTTATTTTCAAATTTGACCTTTGAATTAATTTCATATTTCAGTTTGATCTTCCTTTTTTGTTATTTCAACAGAAGAATAAAAACCTCATTAGATCAGTTTTACCTCAAGGTATTGACTTGCTGGGGTGATGTTTTTTAAAGGATGTGTAGTTAAGAACTGGTATTGTGAATATCTGTCGTATGACTGGAATAGAAGATCCAATTAATTTCATCACTTTAATATCTAAATTTTCGATTAAAGATGCATTATGTAAGACCTAAATCTGCTTACTGAAGATCATTTTTCTGGCTGCAAATCTTATACGAAATTTTATTCACATGACAAGCCTATAATAAACTCTCTAGAACATCAGATGACCGATATTTAAATAGACTTGAATTTAACTATAAATGGATAATCGAGACTTAGTCCCTGTTGTCAAGTACCGGTGATACGATAATAAACGATCTATCTTTAAAGTCATAACTACGCCCTCAATAAAGTAATTTAAATGAAATTTTCAATATATTAATTTTTCACTATCTATTTTTGAACTGGAGCCTTATTCAAGAAAACATGAACAAAATTATTTTAAGAATGCCAGGAGCTAAAATTTATACTATGGTTTTAGTGTTAAGCCAATGAACTATCAGTATTCTTTAAATATTTTAGATTAAGTTTTCACGAATAAGGCCTCTGTTATAGCCTCTTTATCCTCGAGATATACTAATGACTCATTTTGAATCGGAAAAAAAGAATGACGTAATGTTATTCTTACGATAAGAAAACTTTACCCATATTTACCTGGATTGTGTTAGGGTTGTGGGGTACATTCTGTCTGTGTTGGACGATTGTGATATGATCCAGGGACGACTTATAAAAATCAGAATCTTTCCACTCTTCCATTACTATTAGCCACCTCGACCTGTGTTTAAATGATGTAAAACTGCCAAATTCCATTTCGTATCCATCTGACTGTAAATATTAAAAAGTAAGGAGAGTAATAAACAAAGTTACATAGTGTCGCTTTAAACTGCAGAATTCGGTTGAATAATAAACGTTCAATTTGGTGAAAACAAAGGGTTATTACAATATTGAACTGATCCACTGTGCCAGAGGGGGGTTGGATGGCTGAATGGTTAGCGTGCGCGCGCTGTATCATAAAGTCTGTCATTGAGTCGACTGGCGTGGTTTCGAATCCCCGGTTGTACGTGGCAAGGAGTAGGGTCGCCTGTCCAACCTCGTGGGTTTTCTCCGGATCCTCCGGTTTCCTCCCACTGCTAAAGACCCCTACGCGCAAGCGAATTATGTAAATAAAATTAAACCATATGTTAGTCCCGAAATGACCTAGTTTGTGTCGAGTGGTCGTTAAACCCCATTTCTCTCTCTCTCTCTCTCACTGTGCCAGAGCTGGTATACACTGTAAGATCATATCTTGGTCAGAAGGAAATTAGCAATATTTAAACTACATGGTATTAGATTTTAAATCTGGTGGGAGCCACGGTGGCTAGGTGGTTAAGACGCTGGCTCGCTAGCCTGGAGGTCGGGTTTTCGCTCCCTGCATTGCCCGAGAAAGTTCATCTGGATTTTCCGACGTGGTTTCCCCTTGTCAGTGGTGAAGAACGGGGGCCTGACAAGGACAGCTGTCTAGTCCTTAGGATGAGACAAAAAACCGAGGTCCCGTGTATACATTGGAATGCACGTAAAAGATCCCTTGGCAGTTGGAATTCGATATAAGAGTAGGCGATAGTGCCGCTGCCCGGGCAAAATTTCCCTCATAGCACACGGTATGACGTATGCCCGTCTTCATTAGCCCAGTATAGGAGCAGAACAGTAGGACGTTAAACCCCATTTCATTTCATTTCATTTTAAATCTGGTATTATGAAGATTTATGGTCATCCACGCATTATCGAGAATCGGTTTCAAACAGCCTACCCAGTCTCGTATGGTTTATGAAGGTCACAGCACTGCCTCAGCGAAATTTATAAGTATGACGTAAGTTTTTTTTTTTTTTAAAAAAAACATAGTAACAAACAATGTAGCGCAGAAGCGCAACAATACACAACTCGAATCGGCCCAAGCGCAAACCAACCTAAACATTTGAGTCAATTAGAAAGTACTAAATTAAAAGATGAATACAAAACTATAATATGTCTAATGAGATGGCAAAAAATTAGTTTCTATAAATTTTGGCGCATGATTTGCGAACCAACGGATACTCTGTTGAATCTGAGTTTACACAAATCAACCGCTAGCTGTGTGTTGTAAAATATCGGGTATATAATTCAGATTGTTTAATGTTGATTCCAAATAGATACCAAGTAAAACGACCTCATTAGAAAAATATATTTCAAACTTCTAATCATGTTTAAAGTGATATCTGGCTAATCTAGAATAGTTAAACATATCATATCACATCTACATATAGGCAAATTGAAATTAAACTTTACCTGACTGAGAACAGATGTAACACAATATTTTGAACACATTAATATAACATTAAAGTTGTTATGATTCTGAGTTGTATCCATGTTTCTGAGCGCAGTAAGAATATTGGGCTGGGTATCAAATTCCACCACAACCACCATCATATCTTGCGGAAGACTTGAAGATACATCCACAAACATATTGGCTGAAAATAATATATACACATAAAATAAACTGGCCACTGACTTTACCGGTTATATGTCCAGGTTGTAAAAAAATCACATATAAATATATTATTTTAATACTAGTTACATTTTTCGGATTTAAGTTGAATTTAAAAGGGTTGATAAGGATTGCTTGTTTGAGTGTCGTTCTGTAAGGCTCTTTTCACCCAAGCAATCTTTATTGTTTTAGCGAAAGCAAAATATCCACCTTTATCGATTATGCATCACATTTGTTCATTCGTATACATGCTTTTTCCTGGCTTTACTTTCAATATCATCTGTCTATTTGTTTAAGAACTTCCCCACTTGGTGTTAGTAACATAGATACTTGATAAATAAATTTTGGTATATAGGATTATCGATGTGTTTTAATACATTATATAGACGAGCTTCTTTATTAGTCTGCTTTGTGTAGAAAAGTAGGACGTTAAACTCTGTTTCACTTCATTTCATCTTTTAGTAATGCCAAGACTACTATACATGTATTAATTTTTATAATTCTGATATTGTTTGGTAATGTGTAGTTTACACTAGAATGCTAAGAGCCCCGACAGGGGAAATTTCACAGTTATTATAATTTGTTTTCTTTTAAATCTGCTTGCAATTCTAAATTCTTCATAATACTTCAGCACATAAAATAAATACATATGGAAACAAGGGCATCCTTGTCTTACGCCTCTAGATATTTTAAAACTCTCTGTGGTCCAAACACGACATTGCTTGAAATAAACATTTAAAAGATATTAATCAATCTCTGTTTTGCCTGTACTTATTATATATAAGTTAATATTTTTAAAATCTGCATCCTGTTACTATAGTCATTATTTTATAATCTCAATTATCCAATTGTTTACAACATTTCTAGGTTCACCATCAGTTGTAAGTCCTTTCCACACTATTTAACACAAGCATCTACATTATTTCAATCATAACCATTATTTATAATTATTTCTGAAGTATAAAGAATTTGATCAAATGGATTAATCTCGTTTAAAACATTTTGTGGGTTTATTACGTGTCCTCGTGCTTTTTGATTGTACAGCGTAGAGATTACTTTTTTGGCTGAATCGTTTTTGTTTCTGTCTTTAATATATTTGTGTACCCTCACGTCTTAAACTAAATTGGGAGAGAGAGAAAGAAATGGGGTTTAAAGACCACTCGACATCACTAGGTCATTTCGGGACTAGCATATGGTTCAATTTTATTTCAATAATTCGCTTGCGCGTAGCAGTGAAAGGAAACAGGGGAACCCGCAGAGAACCCACAAGGTTGGACAGGCGATTCTCTTGTCATCACTAATTATAGTGTATATTTGTTTTGTAAACCTTCCAATCTTTTTTCTAATTCTTTTAATTGTTTTAGGTCCCATTCTGCTTGAATATTTCCATTTTAATCATTTCTCATGATAAATGTTTGTTACATTTAATTTTCCCATTGACTATCATTTCTTTGGTTTTATATTCTTCAACTATTTAAAGTTCAAAGAAACCTGATCTGTCTAATTGGTTACCCCAGACAAAATGTACACACTTATGTATGATCATATCGATGGATTTGATTAATGGTATGTTTAAAACCGGATTCAAGTCACGTAGTATAGACCAATTTATATCTTTCAGGGTTGTTATTTCTTCATTGTTCATTGTTTCCTTTTATGTCACATGTTTGTTGATTCCAATCGATATTTAAAGGACAATATTGGTGTCAGTCATTGTCACATATGATAGAATTGGTTAAACACGTTCCAAATATAATTTTAACACTCAATGACAGGCCACCCAACCCCCCTATTTTAACACAGAGATCATTGCTACGATAGATGCGTTATGAAGCTTTCAAGCAAGGGAAGGGGGGTTGGGATGGCTGGTGGTCTAGAGTGCCGCGCTTCGATCTCTAGCTGGCCGATCACCTCTGGCTTGCGGCTGTGGTTTCGATCCCTGCTGTGAGCGTATGTGGCTTGGGGATAGGGGCGCCTTCTCAACCTCGTGGGTTTAGTCCGGGTACTCCGGTTTCCTCCCGCAGGAAAGACCCCTGCGCGTGCGCTAAGATAATAAAAATGAAAAATAAGGCTTGTCGGTGGAAACGGACGTTAAACACTAAGAACAACAAAGGAAGTGACGAACTCAAAAGGAAAACACGAGTTATCCTTCTGTATAACTAACTGAAGTGACGAGTGATTCACGGGCGAATTTCAGCTCACTAATAATTCCTTCGAAGACCAAATGTTGTTATATGAGATTGTGCGAGGATATCTGACAATTCCAAAAAATAATTAACTGTCACTAGATAAGAGAAAACGAGAAAAAATGGAACGTGTTCAACCAGTTCTATCACATTATGTGATAATGACTGACAGCAATATTGTCCTTTAATTCTGAAGATAGTAATGGAAATAAAATAACGGGTGCATTTGAATTGAAAACTAAAAATGTAGAAACAACATACCCAGCCCATTACAAGGGTTTAATTGAGAGTTTGAAAACGCAAGTGTAACACACTGGAAAAGGCATATGTATAAATAAAATAATAATAGTAAAATAATTATCATTAATTGTAATTATATATATTCAACGGGTCTTACTGATCCACTGCAAAACTTCATTTATACCTCATGGGTTTCCCCCAACTACTGTTCCCAACAAAACTATAGTTGCTATGCCTAAAAAGTATCAAGTGGGAATCGTTTAAAATAGTCTATTGCTAAACTTAAGTAAACATAGATTCATATATAAATACATGTACATACCTGATTGCTTGTCGTAAATAAGAAGAGCCGACGTCCAGCCCAAAACGTTTACTAAATAACTTATCATTCTGATGTTTTAAAATGTTATTAAAATAATCTTTTACGAAACCACGAAACAATATTCTGCAAATGAAGACGGTCTTTTAAATTAACACACATTGAATATCGATTTAAGGTTCTAAATCACCATCGATAAGATCAGCTTGCTATTTCATCTCATCACTATGTTTTATGTTGACTCACCTGCACTAACTGTAGAATTTAATCAATGTTCTGTCATCGATTCACATCATCCAAAAATCTTTATATTTTCTAAGAATGGGGTAGCGACAAAACAATCGTCAAGACTTTAAAGAATACAAAGACATTAAAATACACTGTCCCGTGCATGATATTAAAGCAGATATTATACTCGTATAGTCTAAAATAATTATGATATAATTTCTATTAATATACAATTTAATTGATGAGCAGCGCATAATATTAGAGATTGAAACTTCTTTGTAAAATTTTATTTTCCTTATTTTAGGTGATGAGAAGATATTCCAGTGGGGTATATATATATATATATTACCCCCCCCCCCCCAAAAAAAAAACAAAAAAAAAACAAAACCCAGATCTATTGATATTGGTATTTTTATATAGTTAATAATCTTTACTAAGTAAAATAAAGCAAGATTTTTATTAACTTTTACTCACACTTGACAACGGAAGCCATCCTGACTTTCTGTTTTTCATCTTTTTTTTAAGACACCCATACGAATAATCTAAATGCTAAAAAGTATTCTTGCAAATGAAGGCCAATGATTTATAATAATCAGATTTGTCAATAATACTGCATCTTTATTTACCTTTCTATGTTGTTTATAGCTTACCGGAAGTGATGCTTACATTAATAAGTGTTCTTGTTTTACCGTTTCCCAGAAGTGAAGGACAACTTATGTGGATTCTGATATGAATTAACCAATTTCCACAGTTTTTAAGATTAATTTTTAAAAATTTGTAGTTTAAATTAATACTTTGCTCATTGATATAAGTGAGGGGTCAATGTCATTTTGGTAGACATGACGGAGTTCTGTCAATCAAATAAATGTTTTTAAAAAGGAGAAAGATTAAATGGAATTTGGTATAATAGTAAGATAATGTAAATGAAACATTATCGATGTCATGTTCAGGTAAACATTGTCTGTTTAACGATTATTCTCATCGCTCGTCTGTAGATAAGAAGGGTCATTAAAAGCTGGTAAGCATAAAAAACCAATCAGCTTGGTTCAAGCACATGGTACTGTTACGTCTCAACGTGTGGTAAGTTAAACGAACAGACAAGAACAGAAAAATCGATTTTTCGGTCTCAAAATATTACCCAACAAGGTTCCAAATATATACAAACTCTTCTAATATATACAAAATAAGAGTAATAATAACATAATATGTATAAACCCTAAAATAATGGGTATAATGAAAACGACATGAAACACGTCTTTACAGAACAAAGGAATTATCACTACTGGCGCGAAGTTGATACATTCCGTATCAATTCCAGGAAAAGTATGGTAAAAGAAAGGGAGGTAATTACATAGGTCAAAACAACAATTTACCTCTAAACTCACAAAATACATAAAAGTAAATCCTATAAAAATGGAATAGTAAATTGTATATTAAAATAATACTTTTTAATAATATTATTTAATAAAATATTTTAAATAGCACATAAGTAGGTCAACCAATAGATATGGTACATAACACACACCCCCTCTTAAAGAAAACATTTGATACAAATGTTTAATACAACCAAATTTGAAAAAATAAATATTTACACAAATCAAAGAATTAAAACTATGCACAAACGGTTTTTTTTTTTTTTTTTTTATTTTTTTTTTTTAAGGACAGTTATTTACACAGAAATATAATATATAAACTTTGTACACTTTTTAAACAATTCTTGATAAAGCATCTGGTATAATATTGAATTTACCAGGAATATGTTCAATTATCAAGTTATATTCTTGCAGCATCAAACTCCATCTTAAAAGTCTCTGATTTTTACTTTTCATTTTGTTAATAAATGTTAACGGGTTATGATCTGTATAAATCAATACAGGATAATTAGCAACGTTAACATAAATATCAAAATGCTGTAGAGACAACATTAAAGCTAAACCCTCCTTTTCCACAGTTGAATAATTTCTTTGATGTTTATCAAACATTTTGGAAAAATAAGCAACAGGGTGATCAATGCCGTTTTGATCTTCTTGAAGAAGAACTGATCCCATAGCTAGATCACTAGCATCAACTGCCAGCTTAAATTGTTTTCCAAAATCCGGAGCAATCAAAATTGGTTCGATGGTTAAAAGGGCTTTTAATTGTTCAAATGCTATCTGACAAGCACTATTCCAGAAGAATTTAATATCCTTGCGAAGCAGCCTGGTTAAAGGTTCTGCTATATGAGCGAAATTTTGGCAAAATTTTCGGTAATATCCTACCATACCCAAAAATCTCATAAGCTCTTTTCTTGAAGTAGGGACAGGAAAATTATCAATAGCTTCGACCTTAGACATAATAGGTTTTATTTCACCACCCCCTATAACGTGGCCTTAAAACTTAACTCTAGCATGTCCAAATTCGCATTTAACTAAGTTAACCGTTAAATTTATCTCCGCCAATCGACTGAAGAATTGTTCGATGTATACCAAATGTTCTTCCCAAGTATCACTATATACAACAATGTCATCGATATATCCTTCGCAATGTTCAAGGTCGCCTAGTATTTCATTTATCAACCGCTGAAATGTTGCCGCAGAGTTCTTCATGCCCATAGGCATTACTTTGTACTGGTACAACCCTTTAGGGGTGACAAAAGCTGACACTCGTTTTGCTCTTTCAGTTAAAGGTATTTGCCAATAACCCTTTAATAAGTAAAATTTACTTCTATATTTTGCATTGCCTATTTTATCGATGCAATCAATGATTCG